GAAACAGATCAGCAGCAACATGAAACAGATCAGCAGCAACATGAAACAGATCAGCAGCAACATGATATGATTTTTCACAGTGATTCTCCTGGTTAGAGATTCATGAGTCTAACAGCCTCAGGGTAGAAGCTGTTCCTCAGTCTAGTGGTTCTACACTTAATGCTCCTTAACCTCCTTCCTGAGGGGAGGAGGTTGGAAGAGGTCGGCTAGTTCAGAGGTAAACCAGGGGCTCTTTACTCTGAGCTGGTGAAGTGGAGCGTGTTTACTTACAAAATGAATGAAACTAGTTCCCAGCAAGGTTCACATCATCAGTTGATGATATGTGATGCAGTGAACAGATCCTAAAGAAATCCTTGTTCACAGAAACGTTTCATATTCCGTTTTAGAATCATCAGATCTCATCAGCTGGTACGTTTCTGTATTTGTTGTGTTTATAAACCCACATTTACTGTAGTTGTTTTGTGCATTATGTGGCCCAAATCAGATTTTTAAATGGTATTTTTAAGCTACATTTTAAATTTTGTTTCAGAACTATGGCTTGAATTGTCTTGTTAATCAGGATAAATGGGTCAGAATCCTGTTTTTTAATGTCTAATCAGGATTTCTTGACATCAAAGTTCCTTCTCAATAATCCAGGTAAAAATCCAACAATGTCCAGTCAGCTCATCTGGACGGCTTCTTTTTTTTTGCTGAAACGTTTTGTTCTTCATCCAAAGGACTTCTTCAGGATTATTGAGCATTAACTTTGATGTTTTGAATCATTTGGACATGACTGCCTCAGAGGAGTTGATGGGGGAGAGGGCACCAGAAACCATCTTCTCACCAGCAGACAGTTTTTTTTCCACTATGGGGGTGTGGTATTTGTGGGACTTCAGTTTGTTTGTGGCTTCTCGGACTGAAGAAGTCCTTGCTCCAAACCCTCGTTAGTCGTTGGTTCTGCGTAGGGATGCACAACATTGGATTTTTGGCCGATATCCCATATGTCAGCATGTTAAACCTTATTTGGCTGATGACCGATACCAATATTTTCCCCTAGACCCACTGACGGAGACTACACAGCTTTCTCTGCTGTGGAATTAAAATACTACATCATTCTGCAGGTCTTTGTCAGTTTGGCCTGCGACCAAATGCAGATGTCATAAAGGGGCTGAATATGATGTAATTTTTAAAGTTGTTTTGATGTTTTTGTCTGTCCTTTGTGCCGTAAGGCTAATCGTGCTAACGGGGCTAACGCGACGTCCAAATGTCTGTGGTAAAACTCACCGAGAGCTGTCGGCTGTTAGCTTCTCAACGACGTCAGAACGGCTTGCAACTCAGGTGAGGCTGCGTCAGGAAAGTATCTCCGCCCGGGGAAGTTGTAGCGAGGCTCATCGTAGTCCAGAACTCTTGGGACTCTGACATCCTGGACGAATGACAACGGTTGGTTATCAATACTCTCCATCAGTTTCTGAGTGATGCCCTTTGCCCTCGGGTGGTCGTGGCTGTGTTTCCTTGCTTTGTCCACAGTTTGTAGAACGGCTGAGGTTTGTGAGGTGTTGTTTCTCCGTCGCTCTCTCGCTTCCTTTCTGGCCACCATGAACTCGTCGTAATGGTGGTTCTTGAGATGGTTAACTGGGTTTGAAGTGTTGTAGGACTTGGTTCTCGCTCCTCCTCGCATCACTGACGCTGAGCAATCATTGCAAATAGCAGCTCTATCAGTTTCTGAAACTTAAAAAAACTTGCACACCGCCGACATTTTGACTCCTTCCTCTCCGCCGTGATCAGATCAGGAGGCGCGCGTGACGTCATCACGCTGTGCTGCCGCTGCAGCCGGCTCTGGGCTGTCGTACAAAACCAGCGCCTTTTATATCTGGGAGTTATTTTGATGGAATCTCAGATATTTAACTTTAACGTTAATATCGGCCGATACCATGCCGATAATATCGTGCATCCCTAGTTCTGCTCAGAAAAGTTCTCCAAAACATTCCTTAGGATTCTCTGACCTTCTAGGGACCCGTAGATCAAATATTTATTCATCAAGTTTCTCCACTTCCTGTCTCCACAGACCACCTGTGACTTCGTCAGGTCAGGGGTTACATGGTTCTGAGTCAGATCCACATGTGAGGTTCTTCTCATTTCATTTGACTCTGATGGCAGTGAGGTGTGTGTGTGTGTGGGGGGGGGGAGGATTGATCAAAGTATTGATCGTATTGATGCGTCCTGCAGCTTCGAGCTCAGAACTGCACATATTCTCAGCAGCAGAACTCCGGTCCACCGGATCGATGCTAACGCGATGAGGACGTTGCTCCTGTTCCAGAAGTGAAGCAGCAGGAAGAGGCAACATCAGCTGTCAGCACCGGACCAATCCTAATTGATCCTGTTCTGCCTGAAGAACTTGAGAACCGATCCACTCGTGCTAACTTGTCTAGCCTCAGTGAGTCCTTCTGTAAACACGGCGTGCTGCGATGACGTCACGTCTTCTTCTGCGGTCGCTCCAGATCCATGCACAGGAGTCTGATGGTGGTCACTTAGATTATAATCTGAGCAGAACCATCAGGTCTGAACAGAACCATTGGGTCTGAGCATTAAGACCTGCAGGGTGACTTTGGTCTCACAGTCAGTGTTGGGGATGACTCGCGGCTACTACCATGCTAAACTTTAGCTCGATGTCCATAGAACCGACTGACTTGCAGCCATTCCTCTGTTTATGGCCACCTGGACGTAGCGGCCGTCTAGAATCAGGTTTTGTTCAAATCTGCCCGCGGCTTTGTAAGATATTTTGCTAACAGACAAAGACTCAGTAAAAACGTGCTCGCCTTCGGGCGGCGGGCAATAATGTAAAGAACGGAGGTGTTCATGTTGTTCTGCCTTGCAGGTGCGTGCTTCATCAGGACGGACCAGCTGGACGGAGAGACGGACTGGAAGCTGAAAGTAGCTGTCGGCTGCACCCAGAGGCTGCCGGCGGTGGGGGTACGGAAACGTTACGCTCAGATCTAAACAAACTCAGCATGCAGGAAATCAAACTCCCGACCCAACCTCGCTGAAAATACACACGTCTGATTTTAGAATCATCAGGATGGGGCTGAAGCTGACCCAAACAAACCTGACAGATCATCACAGTCCGTTTAGATTCTGTTTTTGTCTGTTTCTACTTCCTGCCCTCACTGTTTGCACTTCCTGTCCTCTCTGTTTGTACTTCCTGTCTTCTCTGTTTCTACTTCCTGTCCTCTCTGTTTGCACT